TTATTTCTTTGCACTAAAATTGTATCGTGTATTTTTTTTAACATGATAGGGTAGAATAAATCGGTATTGCGTAAGTGCGTTTATTTATCTTAATATTTATCATTGCTAATAATTCAGAACAATCAACACAATTATTTATAAGTTTATTCAAAAAGATTAAATCCTGATTTTATACGTCTTATTTCTAACTCGCTATATTTAAACAACTTAGTAAACTCATATACAATGAATGTGGAGTATTAATGTGTAAATATTGCAATTAAGAGAAACAAAACGTAGACGTCGATTTTGAATGGTTTCTAAATCCTGTATTAAATAAAGCTGATGTGGTGACCAAAGAGATGAGTTGTGTACGAGACATGATCGAACGAGAGAACAGTAAAGTGTTTTATAAGTTATAATGTTGTTAAAATTATTGCAATGTCGTCTAATAAAACCTAACATTTAGACAAATGTAACTTATATAATTTTCTAGATACCATCTCTCAACTGCATTAATGTCACACTGAAATAAGTAAGAATCGTTAATTGATTTAATAGATCTAAGTAATTTGCAATCATCAGCAAAAAAATATAGTTTAGCAAAGTGCAGATTAAAGGCTTTATCATTTATAAAAATATTGAATAAAAGTGAGGGAATTCGAGAATGTATTTGTGTTTTTGTTTTTGCAAAAAAAAATTTTATTAAACGACTGAAATCATATTACATTGTTGGACTAAAATTTTATTCTTTTAACATTTGTGTATAACTAAATAGCTGACGCTTAAATTTTCATATTATGTTCGAATAATAGGTTTATTTATTAAGATGGTTTATTGGTTTGTAAATATAAGGAATACGATCAAAAATATTATGACCATAAAAGCTATGACATTGAATGATTACAATAAATCTTAGTTTAAGTGTTTAATTACAACGCAGTATATAGGTAAGAAAAACTTAAATCAGTAGTTTTTTTTCAAAACTATTTTTTGTTCAAATTAAATATCACACTCGGTGTTTTGTAAAAAATGCGTGGCCAAAAGAATATAAGTCTAGCGGTAGATAAATAATTAATAGTTCGACAAAAATTGTTGAAAACAACATTTATATATAATAGTGGGCGAAAAACAACACTTGAACAAACTAAATAACAACTTGGGCTTATGATCGGTAGCTTTTCGCATGAAAACAAAGAACAACCAAATATATTTTCGGCCACACGACAGTAGTGTATTGGTGTTTTGTAGGCCTATATACAACAACTATACAACAGTGAACATGTCTCACGTTTGGTGTTTGTTGTCCATGTTGATTATTACCGCCGTGGCTGTGTGCGTAGGCTTAGGCTCAACTGCCATCAATCAATGGAATACTGTGAAACAGCTTAACAAAGGACGATATGCGAGGCCAATGCTGGAGAGCACCACGACTCAGGACGAAGTGGCACTATTGGAAGACACACGTAAGGGATACGAAGACCTAAAGTGTAGCTATTTGTACCGTATGCTGTTGCATATGAAGCTCACCGGAGACCTGGTGATACGGAAGTCCGGCGTGGCAGCAAAGACTGACAATCCTGACCTGACGTTCTGGAACGAAAGCCGGCAGATATTGGAGTTTATGCATCACAACCAGGTGGACGAGAAGCAGTCCACAATCCACATATCGCAGGGTGAGCTCAGCATATTTTGGATATTCGTCATGTACACCGAAAGGGTGCAAAAGTACACAGCCGAGGACTTTGCAGACAACGAAGAAGCAAACAAATCGCTGACCATCATACACACTGCGGTGACGGGACTGTTGGAGGAGTATTCCAAAGATTGCATAGTTTACGATCAGATCTCTGGCTTGCCGTTGGAGGAAGTTTCGTTTTTGGACAAAATCAATGATCGCGTAAGTACGGCCGTAGAACCGGATTCCAAGATAACGTTGATCGGTGAAAATAAAAAGGATTTCAAACAACAAGTCGACAACAACAAAGAACTTATCATACCCTTGCACGACAAATGTAAAAGCAATCTGAAAATGCCATGCATGCACCTAAACAACGTGCACGAGTCAGACGACGACATGACTCTGCTGATACAACATTTGGGTATGTTCGACGAAAAGTCACAAAAATCATTTGTAAACGAATTGAGGACCTCGTTTAAATTTGCCACGGGCACTACGGCACCGCTATACAGGCAAATGGAGGTTCTCGGACGGGTTCAAAAAATGTTTATTGACGTGCTCAAGGTGGTCGCGTTGCGTATAGCGCGCCAACACTTAAGGTACTTGAAGACTATATTTCATCACGCTTGGGCTCTCGCTATCTCTGCGTCTCTGACAGGGACACTGTACCGTATACTTTCAGATTTCTTTAAATATTTAAATTTGGCTGCCCATAACGACACGGTCATGTCCAAAATCATTGCAGCGTTTTTAAGCTTGGATGATGACAATAGACTCGCTATTGACATAAATAAAGTCAATGATCTGTTCAAACACACCGCCAGTTTGTTGGGTGATATCAAGAAGGACCTACCTTTCGAACTATCTTCCTCGATAAAGTTTAACAAGGTAGTTTCAATTGTTATGCCTCATTATCCAATTACGCCTAGTGTACACATTCTTGAGGCGGCAAAACGATATGAAATGATAATAAATTTTAACCGTTGCACACCACTAGAAGAGAACGTTCTGAGAGGCCAGATTCTTATTAAATTTATACGCAAATATTTCCACTGTTCCGATTTTTATTTTATATCGTCTTATAGAAATATCATTCCATCGACGTGGGTAAACAAATTAGGATATGCCGAACGCATGCATACAAATACTTTATAAAAATATATACAAAAAAAAGAAGGCGGCAAAGATTCTCCGGATTGGGATTAGCAGACAAATAATAGCAAAACACTTTTATCATATCCATATTTTTTTTGTTTTCCTTGCACCATTTCGTCTATATTAACCTAATCATTTCAATTTGCTTGTAGTTAATATATAGGATTATTATTGCAATATATACATTCATTTACTTGCACTAAAATTGTATGGTGTATTTTTTTACGGTTACAATCACCTCTTGTGTATTATTTTCAAGGTACTTTCTGTATTTTATTTTTTCAAACTGTACCTGTTCAAATAAAATATTACACTCGGTGTAAATTTAAAATGTGCGACCTAAAAAAATAATGTCGAGCGGTAAATAATTTACCGTTAGACAAAAGTGGTTAAAAAAAAACATATAATATGTGTATCTTTGGCAAAAGCATAACTCGAACAAAATAAATATCGACTTGTGCTTAAGAGTCATAGGTAGTGGTTCAAGGAGGGAATTTTATTTGAAAGTGATTTAATCACTTTCGAAATCTACGATGCGAATCTGTATTATACATTATAACCTAACACCGTCCAAATCAGTACAGTTTAAACCAGTTGTCTACTATGCCGAGTCAATAAAACCGTATTAATGTAGGAAATATCCCAAAACGGTTCAATCAATAATTTTACATCGATCTACCATAGACGCTATTAAAACTAAAACGTTATTCGACACATTGGTCGATGTACATCAGAAATGCAAATGTAAAATTATAATACATAAAGCTTAAAATATTGAAAATATTATGTTTTATCACTGGATAGAATAGATTTCACCATTTTATTTTATATATTAATGTAACTATTTGCTCATATTATGCTTCGTAGCATAGATTGTAAATGTTCTATTAAAACAATTATAATATTATATAATATATTGAAAATCAAATTAAATTTGTTTAACATCACAATTTTAGTTTTTGTATAAAGGCTATTTTAGTACCATAGTAAAATATAACATATTTTGTATAATAAGAAATATTTATTTCAAATTTTATTAATAATTTTTTTGTTTTAAGTATCAAACGAGCCGACTCGAAAACTCGCGTGTATAGCCTTAAACAACTGTTGCATATTACATGTAAATAAAACAAATAACAATCCGAGTAGATACCATAAATAAAAAAGATGTACATTGTTGAGATTTTATTGAACAATTCATGAAAATTAAGCTGTTCAACAAAAACCGTCGACATACAGACTTGTAGGTATAACATAACATTTTTGTTTATATGTTATTAACAATTCCAACAACTTTATGGTTTTTACAAAAAACAATACAAACAGGAGCGTTCAAGATACGGTTAGTTTACGCCGGAATTTATGGCTGTGCGCCTTTGCGGTCGAGTGTGCCATAAAAATTAACGTTTTACAAGTGACAGCCGTTTGGCGTGTAACCGCTTAAAGCGGCCTGTCAACGCCGTGTCGGCCGTCGGTTAGGTACGCCATGCATAATATATGCACGGTGTTTATTATACAGGTGCCATGCGACGGTGACGTACTGTTATTGCAGTGCACCATGTTTGTGGTATGCACAATCGCTAAACGCACATGGTCCAGCGTCGACGGTGGCCGACGAGTGGGACGAACCTACCGTGGGATCATTGACATACGAATGGGGGGGGGGGGGGGGCGATAAATATATTTGTATATATATATGTATAATTTAAATGGACGGGTGGACAGGTCGGCCGGTCGGACGGTGTGCGTAAGATTGTCGGCGGTCGCGCGACAGATGTCGTCGGGACCGCTTCACGCCGGCGGTACGCGGACAAGACTCGTTGAATGAGACCGGTATGCGGGGGCGTATAGGCGTTTCACTTTAGGCAGTATTGATTGTACCGGCGCGCACCGTACCGAAGCGGGTCAGAGGGTTTGTCCGCCGTGCCGCCGTCGCGCGATCCGTCGGCGATCGCGAGTACCGCGGTCACCCTGCTGGCGCGCGTCGTGACAAAACGACGTCCGAGCTTTGCGGTCGCCGTCGTCATCGCCAACGCACGTGCGTTAATTGATATCGTCAGCGGGCCCACCGCGGGGGCCTTAATATTTTTCCAGAAAAAAAATCAAATAATAATAAACCGACGGCGTTGTTATAATTTTTTTTTTTTTTTCGGACGTTTTTGCCCACCGTGAAGACCGTCGCGATATGCCGTCAATCGCTTTGGCAGTCGCGTTCGTGGCCGCCGTCGTGGCGTCCACCGGTACCGGTGGCCACGACGACGGCCAATCCGAACGCCAGCGGTCGTCCTGTTCGCTGTCGGAATTCGCGTGCGGCGGTGGCGGACACCGGACGAAATGCGTGCCGGCCATCAGGTACTGCGACAACCGCCGGGATTGTCCGGACGGGTCCGACGAGCCGCAGTACTGCACACGTGAGTACATATTGTCAAAGTAAACGGTTCGTTGTAAATTAATGGTAAATTGTAATTTTGTTGATAAAATTAATTTTATCCGACGTTTATAGAGTTAATTATAAAGTAATATAAAATTATTAAATACAACGTACGTCAACTGTGGGTTTATCAATTTAACTTTGGCAATTAATGTTTTAGCTTGATTAATGTTCAATAATTATTTGATTGATAAATATAATTTTTTTGATTATTTGTTGGTACTTAATTGTTGGCCCTCTCAAAGGGTTAGCAACTTAGTCTCCAAACCCAAAATATCTTTATCAATCAACTTACTTTATTCGTTAAAATTTCCATCATAATATAGTCTATAATAATGTTAACTATGTAGGCAATACTATATTTGAATATCCGCATTTTGTATTGCATAGTAGAAAAACTATTAGTCTTACTTTGGTGGTAATTAAAAAAAAAATTCCATTATATTTAAATATTTATTACCGTTCATACCATACTTGGAAAATTTTTTAAAAATATGTTAAAAAATGATGCCATTAATCAATTAACCAACACCACGAATATGTCTCAGAATAATAAAAATAATTTGAAAAAAAAGAGTTAAAATACATTTTTTTCTTATATATAGGCACTTTTTCAAGATTATATTAATTGTGATACACTATTAAGACCGAGTTGGATAGCATTAGTGGCTATATAGATTTGACAATGAATACAATTTGTAACTTTGGTTAATAGCCACTGTGGTTAAACCGTACAAGTACAGGTTGCTCATAACAAACACATTTTACTGTAAAATTATAATTTAAAAAAAAATGTTATTTACTTTTTTTATTACTAACAAACGCGTCCAAAAGGGGTAACATATGAAAATAATGTATTTATTTTTTTCATAATTTGTCTTGTAAAGAAAAATCTGTTAATACATGAACAATGTGTGTACCCGGTAGGTGTAAGTATACGGTTATATCGTTTCATGTATTTGTTTTTTATCACACAGTAGTGACGACACCGAAGAGTGAAAATAAATGTGTGTGTGTGTGGACATTGTGCAAAAGCCCTTTTGTACCTATACCCAAGTAGGTCAGGTCGGTTTGCGACGAAAGTTCCCCAGAGGGAGCAGCAAAAACTATGATGCCGAGTGTAATTTTGAGGGTAAAAAAAAAAATGTTTTCTCATTTTGAAATAATAATTTTTCTTTTATTTTTCTGGTTTTCCTTTTGTTTGTCGTTAATTTAGTCAATTAAAAACAAGTACAACGTTGTCTCGTAAATCCCGCAAGTAAGTATACTAATTATACAAACCGTCGAGCCGTCTGCGCACTTTTGCTTACAATCGCCTTGGAAGTTTCGAACAAAACGCTAATAATATTACCCCACCAAGTAAGTATACATATAATAATATATCGTTTTGGGTACGCGGGGTCGTCGTGCTTCCTCGAAGTTTGTACATAAATAAATACAAAGTCTCGCCCGTCGGGTAAATATTTACCCTTTGCAAATCGGTTTCTTGTATAATTTGATTATATATTATATTATTATCGTGTTATAAATTAACTGTTTAATGTGCAAAAACTTATCAGGAACAATAATTATATTGTGTATTAATGGCGGCCATTAAAACGTTAACCGTTGTTTTTTATAGGTTATATCGTTATGTTAGTGTAATTAATTTTTTTTTTTTTTTTTAGTAATACTTTGTCAACGCCGATTGTAATCGGACATAATAAAAAAAAAACAGCAATCGATTAACAGACATTAAAAAAACTAAAATGAAATGAAAAAAAAATAATCCTAATAAACCGTTACGTTTAATTAATAATCGCTCGATTTTAGCTGGAAATTAATTTTACGGTTGGATTTTTTTAACAAGCAATCAAAGCAAACCATTTATCAATCTGTTGTGTAGTGCGTTTTATACTTGAAAAAAAAAACACTAACCGTTATAAAAAAAATGTATATTTTTTGTATTTTTGTGTAGTTTTACTTTTTGGAAACGGATTTTTTTTTTTTTATAACAAATACAATATTATTATTGTTAACACGGTTTTTATTGGATTATGTTAAACAACTCCAATTTAACAACAATTATTATAATATCAGCTTTTAAACGTTTCAAAAATATGTTTACAGGCAAAACATGTTTTTAAGTCTTTCTCCCCATATTTTAATTGTAATTTTGTACCATAAAGTCTGTTAAATTTAGTAGGTATAACTTAACAGTGAGATTTTTTTTTTTATCGTGAGCCAGTCAATACTTTAATGGGTTTAATTAACAGTTACATTTTTTTTTTTCATAATGTTCTTATACCTACAGGTGATCCAACTAACGTGAGACACTCATTTTCAGAATTTTTAGGTACATATTTTACTGCATTTTTCAATATTTTGACAATTTTTATCGCCAATCTTTATAAGCCATAAAGGGATTTTTTTGTTAAATGGCAACATATGTTTTTAATTACATACATTTGTAGACAAAAAAATTAAAAAATACATTAGCGTTTGAATTTTTTATTTTCACTTATCTGTAAAAATACTACATTTCTTCTTAATAATTATTATCATATTTCTTCAGTTTTCCAAAACCGGTATAGCACATAAAATTCATATTTATGTCCAATATTATTGGCGATAACATTCTAACAACTAGGAAGTATACCTATACCTAAAAGATTTTGAAATAATGATAGACAAACGGTTCTTTGATTACTTAGATTACAGGTTATTTATTATGTCTGATTATGATACAGAGTACCCTTAAGCTAACTCATTATATTAAAAACCGCCCTGTACCGTGTTGGGGAGGCTGTTTGTAATTTTGTTGACCGTTTTGCCCTATCGTACAGCAAACAGCATTGCAGTGTTTACATTTGTTGGGGTCGTTGTAACGCCAACAGATTTGGCAACAGCAATTGGTGGTGGTGTGAATGCACGCCTAACTACAATGTCTACTATCTCTCTCTCTCTCTGTTTTAATAGGGACATTAATGAACCTATTTGACTAATTAAAAACCAGCTATGCCGCCGTACAGTGCTCAGTGAAAACAATCTAATTGGGAAAATACATTTAGCGCAAAAACGAGGTAGGTAGGTACGTTTGGGGAAACGCTAAAAATCAAAAGACAAACAGTATATTTTATACATATTATTATTATTATTATTATTGTATCCTTGGGGAACAATCGTTTTCCAAGAAATGGCCATCTTGGGAAATCAAAACCGTGTAAAGAAAAAAGGCCAAACGATTCGACTTGGGTTTGTACGCGTTTTACCGTTTTCATTTTAGCTTTTACATTATCTTAGAGGTACCTGTAGGGCAGTTCTGAACACTTATTCCAACTAAAATACTATGAAAAATACTGTAAAAACAAACAGTATAACCAGTACCTATGTATAGTTGTTGTACATTCATCTAGTACTTACTAGCGAGGCACACTTAAACGTGCCCAATTTAATATTCTCCACAATGTAGGTGAACACATGCGTATAAAAAAAGGTTATTGGCTTGTTGTATAAAAGCTTAGTCCACAGTATTCTAATATGTAGTACATTGATTAAAACGAGGTCTATATTACTTGTTTATAACCTCAATCATAATTAATTAACATATTTATTATAGAGCCAATTAAATTACAGTAATTAGTCAAAAAAATTCTATAAAAATGAAAATTGTTTTGTTTGAAGCAACTTGATGTTTTTTTTACTAGTACTATAAAGTATGTACACTAAACAATTTAATAAAAGACAAAGCTTTTAGACAAACTCAAATTTTGCCCAATTATAAAAAAATGGTATTATCAAAATTCATACAAAAAAAAAATTGTCTTGACGTTTATAGATTTTATGTATATTATATTATTTATTATATACCATTGCTTTATTTGTATACCAAAGGTTGTCTTTTCATCAGTCCGTGATTAATTTTATAGGATTTACAAGTATAATTCCTTTTGGATCAACTGGTCGGGTTCTAGGCAGAAATGGGTCGTATTCTAAATCGTAACCGCTTTTTGAACATTCTTAGGCAAACTCGGTCATAGAAAAAATAATTTAATCTAGTAATAATTATCATACTGATTATTCTTAAAAGAGTTCTTACCAAGTAAACTTGACAGAAAAAAAATATCAACTTCTTTTAGCATTAAATTATATAAATAGATAAATATAAATTAAACATTTGATGATTATTCGTTTTAAATAAAGCCAAGTATGTTTGACTTTGCATTTGATCAAAGTCTTACCGATACGTTTTATTTTATTAATCATTGGGCGATGAAGTCATGACATCAATCAACCACATGACGTACCGTTAAAGAGTTGGTGGTCTAAACATATTTCTCAGACAAGATTATTTAAGTAATAGTTGTTGGTTAACAATTAATGACAATGTTGTAGTTACTATAAAATATTAAACAAAATAAAATAACCCGTTAATGAATTATGTACATATGTATGAAAAAATGTCTAAAAAAGTAACCATATAAAAGCAATATTTAATTACAATAATAATATTAAATTATTATAACGTCGTTGAGGAGTTGTATTTATTACAGGAAATAGTTTGTGAACTGTTTCAGTTACCACATCAGCAAATAATACAGTATTGTGTAAGTTGTACAGTATACAATATATGATGAGTTGAATTATTATTAAAAATTGTAGGTACAATGTTTATGAAGAAAATTGTTTGTAAACAAAACATATATTGTAGTTAAACATAATACTTTTTTACACAACTAAAGGTTTTATGTAAAATTGCATCATGAAATTCTGAATTATATTTCTTATATACTGGAAAAAAAATAAAACCCAAAAGGTATCAAATATAAAAGTAATTACTAGTGCAGTATGACGGTATTCAGGGTTGTGCAGGTTTGTTAAAAACTAATTTGTAGGACGGGTCAAGTGATTATAAAAACCATTAATTTTCCCGGTAACAGATATATAGTAACAAACGAGAGACACTAACCACATCAACTATATCCTGGGTAGTGAGTTATG